TTGGTTCAAGTCTTCTTCTTTAAGAAGGTATTCTGCTCTAGAAGCCGGAATATTATGTATCCTTTTTGACGCGATAACAAAAAATCAAAAATTATTTTGACTATCAATTTTTTACATGCTTTTTATTGATATTTTAAGAATACAAAACATAGGTAATATAAGAAAAAAAAAATTAAATTGAAAAAAACTGCAGGTTGGCGAAGTAGAGCCTGATGAAACAATGGCTTGTTCTGGTGTGCAGGATATAAATCCTTTCCGTGATCTAAAATGAAAATTTATGTGAAATCCGTGAAGAGTAAAAGTGTACGTCCTGCGAAACGTTTTTGAAAAAAAATAATTTACAAAATGGTGAAGGTTCTCTGCGTAAAATTTCATGTGAATTGGTTGAGGAGAACTTGAGATATCATGCACACCGTTTCTAGAAAAGTAATTATGAGAAAAACGAGTTTAAAGTTCGAGAAAGGCTGCGAAACGGGTTTATCGGCGCGTCACAAAAAAAGAAACCGTGTAAAGAGGCGTTTCCTATAGTAAAATGGRGGATACGTTCCATGTTCTGGGACGAGATTACCTTGCCTCTGCCAAACCCCTCTGCGGTTATTTGCAAAAGTGTGTGCTTGGCTACCTGGCGGAGTAAGTTCAAGCAGAACCTCCAGTGCTGCCGTTGGGCAAGTGCGCATTGCGGCCGTCATGCGGACACAGGCTAGCCGCTGTAGCTTCAATAGTTTGGTCTTTACCGAAGTTTGCGACGCTATTGAGGCCCAGGCCACCGCCCCGTACCTGATTATTGATCGAACAACCACTTAACGATCCTTGGCTTACCACTCCATTACTTTCCCGCCAGCCGATTGTACTCCATTAAAGCTTTTGTTGCTTTGATCAACACGGTTGACTACGGGACTACGGTCGTCTCCTCCCTACACCACCTCTTCGCCAGGTTTAGACCTCTTTGTATTAGGTCGCAGGGAGTGTCCTCCTATTACCACAATTACAACGTCGTCCGCATCCCCTTGGCAGCGGATCCCATTTTCCGTTATAAGTGCTAGCAGGTCTACGACCAGGCTCCATAGCAGGGGTGATAGCACAACCCCCTGTGGGCAGCCTCTTGTTGCTGGTGCTGCCGCATTCCTTTTCTCCAGTGCCCTGGCTACACTCTTGTGAGACGTGTTATCAAAGTCACCTTCGATGGCCAAGAACGCGCAAAGCATCACACCCTATGCTCCAGTGAACTCTCTATCTCAGAGGTTATCTGGTACAGAGACGTGTTGGTAATCTGCCCGCTCTGTAGGAATGCTGAGTCGCATGCAGCGCTGCTCTTTTCAGCGCTTTCATCCTTTTTTCGTGGTCCACGATATTCTCCATGGTTTTTAGTACGAAAGACTGATTGGCCTGAAAGATTTCGCCAATGAGTAATCCTTCCTTCCTACCTTGGCTATGAAGATCACTTTCACTGAAGAATTCAATGTTATGCCTGACAACTATGCAACTTCTAAGTCTCGCTAGAGCGATCCCAGATTACCTTATTTGACTCCGTCTTGAGGCCTTTAACATCTCCCCTATGGACCCAAGGCTCTTGGATCTCTCTTGCAGTATACCCAGTTTCTCCCTCCTGCTCGTTATGACAGCTGAAGCTGCGTGATGCAGGTTCACCTGGAGGATTTCTGTATTGACGGTCATTATAGTATCACAGTCACTGCCTGTTTTTCGATACCCCTGTATTGTGGAGTCGCAGCCATTACTGCTCCCTTGCTCCCTGTGGCTGTGGGCTGGTGGGGCCGCATAACCACCGTGCTGAACCTGTAGTACAGGCAATGTACAAGTACAGTCTCCAACCTTTCATGTCTCCTATTTCCTCCACTTTGCTGCTAACGACGCGCCAGGGCGAGATGCTGAGACCCAGGTTCTGATCTCTCACCCTCATAGGGCTTGTCTCTGCATCGGGGGAGGAACATTGTCATGAAATGCATAATTGGCAAATCTTCCGCCTTCTCGCGCAGAGAACCCGTCCAGCTTTGGGGCGAGCTCCCGCAGCCAGCTGGCGGACGTATTGTCCTTTCAGTCCACTTGCAGCATATCTCCTTTGAATTCCTCCCCCAGGAAGGACGCCGGGTATTCATTCCTTCTGGATACCTCCTCCATGAGCAGTGCAGCCATGCGGATGCTTTTAATAGCTAGGGGAGCTATTCCGCTTCGGGGTTTGAGCATACGTGTCCGACTGCGCTGCCCTTTCATCGCCACAGCTTGCGGTCGAGGTAGCACTGACCGGGCCAGGGTTGCTGGTTCCGCTGCCTTGCGCACGAGCAGACACGGTCCTGTCACGCTCCTCTGCTGGGGATGCCTTGCTTCCTTTGCTCCTACTCCTGGGTGAAGCCTCTGCTACCTCGGGAGTCTTCCCATCTTGRAGGTAACGCAAGTACCATTCATGCTGGCACTGCTCATACTCTTCCTGTGCGGGTCTTCACACCCGCCGGATTCGCCAGAGGGCGTATGACTCACCCGAATCCGACTGATCAGTGGCAACAGGCACTTTCGCCAGGCGAAGCGCCGCTGCATGAGGGCATGTCGTCGCTCCTCAAACAGCGCCCGCTCTTCTGGCAAGAGGGCGTCAAGGAAGCTAAACTTCCGCCTAGCTCCTWGAGCCCCCTTGTCTGCCGCTGCGAAGAGATGGTATTCGTGAATCTTCTTTTCACGGGTCTTTTCCAAGATTTATACCATGGTGGTTGGTGAAAGAGATCGTGAAATCTCCCTTTTTGTCGATCGGTCAGAGCATACTCAAATTCCAATCGTTGGGTATGCTTTCGTCCGACCAAATTCTACAAAGAACCTAATGCATGCTCTTTATCAGTTCTTCGCCGACATATTTGAGTAGGTCGACCGGCAATCCATCTGCTCCATCGGCATTTGTAAACTTAATTTAAGTTGTGTGGATTGGTAAAAATTTGTGAAACTTTAATACAATTAAGTGGACACGCTAACTTAAAACACTTGTTGTGTAGCGCTAAATATTGGGTTAAACTTCAGACCAAAGCAAATATCCCTAATGACTTAAATCCCGATCCTCTGATTAAGTTTTGCATATCGGCTCAATATATTAAATTTAATCTACGGTTTAGTTTATGTCAACTATATCTTCTTCGAGGTTGATTTTAATATAATTCTTAAATTTGCATATTAATTAAATTTTAATTCATTCACGTTCTTTCAAAACATTTGTTAATTTTAGCCAACGCCTGAAAGTATTTCCTTGACTTTAATAGCTTCATTTAAGCATACATGAACTAATATTAAGCGAAGTCTTGTCACTTGTAAATTACCTGTCATTTAATCTTACTCATTTGTTTCAACATATGAATATCAATTACTATACAAAATTATTATATTGTATCAGTATTCAGATATATCCGTTTAACTTTCCTTAAAAACTATAATATGCGTAGTCAAAACGCTTAATTATTAATATTATTCTAAAACAACTTCAGTTTTAAAAACTTTAATATGCTTTTTAAAACGGTTAGACGCACCATCATGGACTAATAATATTTTAACAAGCTGAGTATCATTCCGCGATTTCAAATGCATTGGTTCATAACTCTGCGATGAGTGCGCTTGGTCAACAATAATGCGGTTTTATAAGGAATTACTTCCCAAATACTCAAGAACGACAAAATTGTTCAGCAAAATGAATTTAATAATAAATTTCATTAAGAAATTGAAGAATTTTCTGATGTTCACTTCAGATAAGAAAAGTGGCAACGTGTCTCATACCGACTCTCAAAAGTTTGCCTTATTTACCGTCGTGTAATTTCTTACTATTCCGCAAATTCACATGATCACTCCGAAGACACCGTTCTGACTCAATTGAGGATATAAAAGCTGAAACGAAGAAGGCTCTGATGCCCATCACGACGGAGGATTTTTCCAAGTGCTATGATGACTGGAAAATTCGTTGGCATAAATGTATTGCAGCGGGAGGGGATTACTTTAAAGGAAATGAAATCGACAAAATTCACCTTTCAATTTGATCACAGTAGTATATAATTTTATATAAATTCTTTGCTACGAAAATGCAGCCCAATCGAAAAATCGTAGTACCTTAAAAGGGCATTAGTCAAGTTTCAATAATAAAACACCTCAAAATGAACAAAATATGTTGATACTGCATTGTCGCAAAATGTAAAATGCCAACTCATATAAATTTTTTCTTTTTCCAAAAAAAAAGTGGTTGGCAATAACGATAAAGTTCATTTAAATCAAAATTAATACAAATATGTATATATATGTCATACTTTTTTTGTAATAATATCATCAAATGAAAAAAATAAATATGTAATATTATATAGTAATTTAATATCCCGTTTACAAATTGAATAATTCCAACTAACCTGCTCTACACATCAGATATTTTGAAATTGAATATCAGCTGACGTTCCCGCCCGCTTCTCACTTCGTTTTTAAGCAAAAATATGAAATACGCTAAATGGGTTTTATTTTTCCATGATTTAGCTATTAGCTTATGATGGTCAAATAAAACACGGCTATAATAACACTTACGTAAATATAAAAAGGTAATAATAACTTTCTACTAATTTTAAAACTTTTTTAATAAAAGTGTAAATAAAAAATATCTAGAATAATTATGTGGCATTTTCTCCACTGACCCCTCCTTCCCTACAAGCAAAAGTAAAGAGTTTGTAGTATTGTTTGCGCATGGAGAAGAGAGGCATGTAAGCGTCAGCGAACTTGTATTTAAAAATCTAAATAGGTGTGCCCATCGATAATGCATTTAAAATCATTAAAATTGAACGTGACGATCGGGAAATTTACAAACTTTACAGGAACAATCACTGAGCTATCCTTAAAAGTGTCCTAAAATTTCATTGAAATCGGTCCAGCCGTTTCAGAACATGAGGAATGTGCGTACAAAATTTCGCTTTTATATACTCATGTATACATAGAAACTCTTTTTCACCTCATTAATTTTGTTTAACGTATTTTGCTTTCAGTGATGGAAATATGTTAATAAAAGCAGTGTCGTTTATATCGATGGGAAAAGTACAACCATTTTTAATTACATTTAATTCTTCGGCTTTGCTGCTGGTTGACTTCCATTGCCACTTAACCATGCGCGAAGTTTGCGGTTATTTTGGAGGCCATTGGGATATAAATACTCACAGTAAGTTTGAATTTAAATATAAATAAACAGTTTTAGTATTTTGTAACGACCTTTGGCTACGAATTTCAGTATCTTTAAAATCAAAAACAAAAAATATTAAATTGTTATAATTAGCAGGTTTAATATAATACAATGCACCTTTGGAGTAAGTTTTCTTTTAATATGTTTAGGTACATGGTTTTATTCATAAAGATACAATTTCTGATACCAGCTGCATACATACACTTCCAATAATACAGCCACAACTATTTGTGAATCCTTACAACAAACATAATTCATTCCAAATACAGGACTCGTAAGAAAAAATTTTTACTTCGGGCATGCTTCCTCTTATTTCTTGCCACAAAGCTGAATTGATCTCTTCATGTATGATACCATATTTTTCCCTACTTTCTATATTAGAAGAGCATTTGCATAATCAATTATAAAAATGTTTGTATTTACGCTTACTTTTCATATTATTGCCTCACCCACAAAATATCGTTAGTATTATGTAACTTAGGCACACATTTAAATTATTTAAAGACGACCATGGGGAAGAGGAACATCATTTAAAGAAGCGTTTCTTCCTAGTACAGTGAAACTTCGATAACTCGTATTTGCAAGGGACCACAATTTAAATACGAGTTATGGAGTTTTTCAAGATATCAAGTTATACTACTTATAGAGGCAACATACAGAATATACGAATTATAGAGTTTTTTTTTATTTATTTTTTCAATTTTACATAAAAAACAAGAAATGATTGTACATATTTAAATTTTAAAATATAAAGTACATACGTTATTCAATCAATATATGTATGTATGTATTTTGAGAAATTGTACAAAAAAATTAAGAAAAGTTTTCATTTTAAAATAAATCCGTAATATGTTTTTGACGGACATTATTTTGGCGTATTTTATCTATAGCATTATCAATGTTTACAATGTCATTAAAAATAGTGTCTTCAACATTTGATGCCATGAAAAAAAGACGCAAATTTTCAATTGAAGCTTTCGCAACCTTTGTGGAAACTGAGGGAATTTCAAATGTTTCCTCGTTTTCATCGTCGATGTTTTCGAAACCCAGAATTTCATCATCATTGAGGCTTCCAGTAATCACCAACTCATCATCAACATGAATATAGTCATCAAAGTTTACACCTGTTTCTGCATTTTGTGGAACATGAGCCCACTCTGCTATGTGAAGTACATCTTCGCTGATTACAACTACATTTTGATCCTTAACAAAACCGCAAGCTCGAAAGCAGTTTTTAATAGACGATTTACTGATATTTGTCCAGGCTTTATGGRCAATATTCATTGCACCATAAATCGAAATGGAATAATCCTTTTTTTTTCGATGCTTTCAAGCAGTTTAACAACAACTTCTTTACGGTACAATGTTTTGAAACTTTTGATTATGCTTTTGTCGAGTGGTTGCAAAACTGAAGTGGTGTTAGGTGGGAGAAATTCAGTCTGCACATTGCTCAAAGGTTCCATTGCAGTGTGGGCGGTGCAATTATCAATAAATAATAAAATCTTTCTATTTTATTTTATCATTTGTTGGTTTACCTATTGTAGCCATTCAAGAAATAAATTACGTGTCATTCATGACTTTGAATTTGCACGATAAAGCATAGGGAACGTCTTGATGTTTTTAGTAGTTTTTAGTTTCATGGATTTACCAATCATTAATGGTTTAAATTTTTCTGACCCATCCATATTTGCAGCAAGCAACAGAGTAAGACGATCCTTGCTCATTTGCAACCATGACAACTTTGGCCTTTTAAAGACAAAGTGCGATCAGGCAGACACTTGTAAAAAAGACCCGTTTCATCCGCGTTGAAAATATTCTTRGGCTCATAATTCTGTATTAACTTTTGAATGTTTTCTCTCCATTGAACGCACACTTCATCATCAACGGCCGCGCTTTCACCACATTTTTCAATTTTTGTCTCAAGAGAATACGAGTTATCAAAGGAACCGAAATACATGCATTCTTCGTGAATTTTTCTAGGGACCGAAGAAATACTATGAAATATCAAGGTTTTTCGCTTATCGAAGTTACGACTTATCGAAGTTTCACTGTAGCTTATGTTAGAGTTTTAAAGTGGATTAATATGCGCCTTTACCTAATACAATTAAATTCCTTACGTCCTTTCCCATTTAAATCAAACACTAATGAATGTATATAAACCGAACGGCGCACAGAAGTCGTTCAAGCGAAACAGTTGTCAATAAGTAAAGAAGAATATATTCACTGACCGACATAAGTTTTGTTCGGAAAACGAAAATTACTATTTGTATAGTACATACTTGTACATATGTAGTATATGGCAGGGGAGTATCGACTACATGCTCAATTTTTGGCTGATGCCGGTAAATCGTTTAATTTACTTCTTTATGCTAAAAATAAATACGGTTCATAATTCATTTAAGAATCATTTGCAAATTTTATTACTTAAAAAAGAAAGAAATCAGTTCCAAAACAAGATAAAACGTTAACTTCGGCTGCACCGAAGCACAGGTGCATTTCTTTTAGTAACTATGTGTTCAGTTTGTATGGAAGCTATATGCGATGGAAATTCGATCTGAACAATTTTTTCGGGGATTATATTATTACATTAAACAGTAATCCATGTCAAATTTCGTGAAGATACCACGTCAAATACAAAAGTTTTCCATACAAGCCCTTGATTCTGATCGTTCGGTTTGTATGACAGCTGTATGCTATAGTGCGCCAATCTTAACAATTTCTTCAGAGATTACCATGCTGCCCTAGGAAATAGCCTATACCAAATTTCGTGAATATATCTTGTCAAATGCAAAAGTTTTCCATACCAGCACCAGATTTCGATCGTTTAGTTGGCATAGTAGCTATATGCTATRGTAAGCCGATCTAAACAATTTCTTCGTATATTACATTATTATCTTAGAAAATTACCTGTGCCAACTTTTATGACAATACATTGTCAAATGTGAAAGTTTTCCATACAAGAACTTGATTCCGATCGTTTAGTTTGTATTTCTGCTATATGTTATAGTGGTTCGATGACGTCCGTTACGACAAATAAGCAGCTTCTTGAAGAGAAAATTATGTTTGCATGATTTCAAAATGATATTTTAAAAACTGAGGGACTAGTTCGTATATATACAGACAGACGGACATAGCTAAAACAACCCAGCTCAATATAGTTATCATTTAAATATATACTTTGTATTGTCTCCCACGCGTCCTTCTGGGTGTTACAAACTTCGTTATAAACTTAATATACCCTGTTCAAGGTATAAAAATAACCTCACATAGCTAATGCGGGAGAATACAGATTGTTGCTCTTGAGCAAGGAAGTTTATTTTTGGACGAACCCTTCAGATACTTTTCTCATCAAAACAAAAAATGGCATTGACATTTTCGTCTAGAAAGCATTGCGGCTACTGTGCATTGTGCTAGTAAAACGATGCGATCCTTATTCAGAAACATGGAACGGCCTTAATCCTCCGTCTATGTACCGAATTATGGCAAAGACTTCTGCCTGAAAAATGCTCAGAAAACTTTTCATCACCCTGCATCGATTCCCTCCGACGTTTTCCTCAGAATCGTTCCACTCATTCTCGCTGCCAAGGGTATCCTTGAACTTCTTCTTGAAGTTAACCTTTTTGCTAATGCTACCACTTATCTCTTTCATCCCCTGGGATGAGATTACCGTACCTTTGCCACACCCCTCTGCCGTTATTTGCAGAAGTGTGTGCTCCGATCACTAAATGAAGCATTGTGAGTTCAAGCATGACTTCAAATGCTGCCGTCGGCTAAGTGCGCATTGCCCACGACATGAGCCCTACCGAAGTCTGCGATGCTTTCAATTAGTTTTAAAAATAATTAATTTAAATGCCCCCCGCTACTCGTTGATGCCAGTGCGGCATCTTACCATAAATTTGTTCATTACTGCTTGGAGAGTTGAGACAGGAATAGCCGCAATTGTTTCTCGAATGGATTGCCTTAGTTCATTCAAATTTDTTGGTTTTGCTTTGTAGACTTCCTGTTTGCAATGACCCTACAAGAAAAAGTCAGGTGCAGTAAGGTCAGGCGACCTGGGTGGCCAACGGAATGTGGAGTTTCTGGATATCAGCTTATTGGGAAATTTTCGTCGCAACTCTGTCATAACAGGTTGGGCTATGTGAGGAGCTGCACCGTCTTGCTGAAACCACACAGAGTTGAAAGAAATTCTCATTCSGCGTAATTCTGGATAGAAACACTCTCTCAACATGCTCAAGTAACGGTCTCCAGTAACCGTAACGGTGTGACCGTTTTTTTCGAAGAAGTAGGGTCCGACAATGCAGTGTGGTGAAACTGCACACCACACTGTGACACGAAGTGGATGCAATTCCGTCTCAAGGAGTATCTGTGGGTATCCTCTTCCACCATTTGAAGCATCTTCTGGCAAAATTCCAAGCGAATCGGAAAGTCTGCAGCATTCAGTTTGTTGGTCATTTGAATTTTATATGGAAATAAGTCCAAATCTTTGTGCATAATTGACTGTAATGACTGTCTGCTTACACACATTTGAGCAGATAAGCTTCTTGTCGAAACACGTGGATTTTTTGTATGGCAGCAACTGAAGGGTTTCGATGGTAATGTCGTCTGTTGACTGTCCCATGCTCGGCAAAATTGTTTACAAGTCTCATTATGGTCCATCTGCTCGGAGGTTTGCCGCCAAGCGTGCGCCTATACTCTCTTTGAACCGAAACTACGGACTCCAGTGCGTGATAGTGGCGGACAATCCAAATTCTTGAAAAAAGTTATTTAATTTTTTTTTTTGTAGCGGCTTTCATCAGCCACCTCACCAGTCTATCCACAGCCTCTGGGGGTGTTGCGGATGCCTCTACTTGGAAATAGGCTGATGTCAGGACGAAGTCTGTGCCTTCATAGTCGCTGGCTTGCACCGCCACTACAGCCTATGCCAGGAACTCTGAAATACAAAAGAAGTCAATGTTGTTCCTGACGTCTATACAAGTTCTAGGACTCTCGCTAAAGAGATCCAGATTATCTTGTTGGAATCCGTCTTGAGGCCTCTAACCTCCCCTCTATAGACTCTCGGATCTTGGATTAGCAGAATGCCCGGTTTATCCAAAGTGAACCTACTTGCTAATGCAGCCGAGGCTGCCGCCTCTTGGTGCAAGATAATTCAGGCGACTTCCAGGTTGATGGCCACTATAGGATCGGTTCGATGAGAAGCCGGTCCTCATCCCCGCCGTCATCCATACTGCCATCCATAGCCCCTCGAGGAGTTCGTGCATGGAGAGTATCTTGCCTCCTTGAGCGCAAGTTCTCTTGTCGGCGACTTTTGAAATCACAACAGTCCTAGCCTGTCCTGCCGTACTGTCTGTGGGTTGAGTGGCAACATCATCCAAAACTAGCTTCTCCGCTTCCTGGCTCCCGGTGGCCGTTGTAGCCTTGTATGGCCTTAAGACAACTGTGTTGAACCTATGGTATAGGCGGAAGCTTGCTCCTCGGACATACTTGTACGACTCGTCGTCAATACACAAGTTTAGTCTCCAACCATTATTTTCGACCTTGCCGCTGACTGCCCGCCAAGCCGCGATGTTGAGGCCCATGTTCTGATTTGATCAGACCTAGAGCAAACTCTTACGGCTTGCCTGCCCATCTAGGGAGCAACGTCGTTCTTTTTGCGCAGAGGATGTGGCTCTTCCAGCCTTCCAACTTGGGGACGATCTCCCGTAGCCAGCTAGCGGACGTCTAGTCCTTGCAGTCCACCTGCAACATCCCCCTATAAGATCGGCCACAAGGAAGGACGCCGCGTATTCACTGCCTCTGAATACCTCTTCCATTACAAGGTCCTGCAGCACGGCAAGCTTCTCCGACTCCAACGTCTCCGCCGGGTAGTTAAGAGGCAGTGCAGCCATATATATGCCCGTTAGAGCATCTGCGTATCTTCACCGTCTCTCCTCCACTCAGGGGGTTTCGGTGCGATGGGTTGGCCTGACGGTCGGGGTTGCGTTAACGCATTCACTGCTTTCCTTGACTCTGCTCCTGGCCAGAACCTCCGTCACCTCAGGATTCTTCCCCTTCCGGAGGTGCCGCAGGTACCAGGGGCAGGTAAGCTATTTGTTTGATTTTTCGCACATCGATTTTTACCGATCCTTGGTTCAACCCGGTGAGCTGTCGGGTTTACGTTACTAAAGGGGAGCTTAAGGTCTCCAGGAGAGACACCGAGCAGCATCGCTCATAAAGGTTGAAAATTGCCGAAAATCCATTGCAGTTTCCAACGGAGTGAAGTTCTTCCTCTGATTCCCCCGGCGGTTACTGGCCAAATACTGGAGTGTTTTCAACTATACCGACGCCATGAGCTAGCTAGCGCAGCCGCTGTTGTCGTATATCTCATACAGCCCATCGCTCCATCTAATGCGGTATCCGCCGTGCCCAATGCGCGAGGGACCAAAAATCTTCCACAGAACCTTTTTCTCAAAAATCGTTACGTCGACTCATCGATACAGTCATCATCCATGCCTTTGCACCATATAACAAAACGGGAAAAATGAATGACTTATAGAGTTTAGTTTTTATTCGTCGAGAGAGGACTTTACATCTCAATTTAAAACTTCGTCCGAAGTAGCAGCTGTTGGTAAGAGTTATTCTGCGTTAGGTTTYCAAGCTGACATTGTTGGTGGTGTTGATTGGAACTATTATCATATTAGATAGACAAAATTATCTACGGAGATATTATATTATATTATATATATTATTATAACAGGAGATATTCTTTTTGCCCTGGTTCCCTACCAGACCCATCTGCTTCGCTTCCATATCCATTCAAAAAAGAGCAGAACTAACGGCGCGGATGTTGAGGAAAATGATATCAATATCATCGCCGTACGCCAGCAGCTGTACATTCTTATGGAATATTATCCCTGATCTATTAAGTTCTGCAGCTCGAATCATTTCCTCCAAGAGTAGATGGAAGAAATCACTCGAAACTGAGTCGCCTTGTCTGAAATCCCGTTTGGCATCGAATGGACCAAAGAGGTCCTTTTGGTATTGCTCAACGTCAGTTTACGCAGCCGTATTAGTTTTGCGAGGATAAAAAAATTCAAACATCGCGACATAAAGCAGCTCCTTTTCGTTCTGTCAGAAGCAGTTTTGAAACCGACGAAGGAGTGGTGTGTGTCGGTTCTCTTTTYACGGGTCTTTTCCAAGATTTGGTGCATGGTGAATATCTGATTAGTTTTTTGATTTTCAGGCTTCAAGTCACACTAGTAAATTCTAATAACTTTCTTGACGGTGGGCTTTAATCTTTCACACAATAAGCTCGATAGAATCTTATATGCGATGTTGAGGAGGCTTCTCCCACGGTAGTTGGCGCAGATTGTGGGGTTTCCCTTTTTATGGATTGGACAGAGCAAACTTAAATTTGAATTGCCAGGCATGCTTTCGTCCGACCATATTCTACAAAGAAGCTTATGCAAGCTTTTTTTTCAGTTTTTCGCCGCCATATTCTCCTTCTTCTGGTATTATGCTTTCACTGCCATTTTAGTAGACAACACTGTTCAAAAATGGCCGATTTTTTCTATTTTTTGGCAAATGTCACTTGAAGTCTGACCCCTTGTTTGCATTTACAGCATCAAAGGGAAGCAGTTTTATATTACTAATTAAATTATGTGCAGGTATATTAACGAAAACAATTTTTAATATTTTTAGATGGCAGGCAACAAACAACGCACAGTTTGCTATCCATTTTAAATATTCTTAACTTGTTGCTTTTAAATTCACTCTATTATCTGTAAACGTAGGTAATAATAAACTTATTTTTTTGTTAAATTTATATTGATTTTCCAATATATAATATAATAGTATATTTCACTTTTTCTTTAATAAATAAACAAATTTCACAATCAGCTGTCTAAATGCACATGTCCCACAGTTCTCTTATATCGAGTTGCTGATGAGTGCTCTCAGAGAACAGGAGTGCAAGTCGAGTAGAAAAYCGTTCRGCTGTCTGTTGTGAATGCAGCTTCTTAACATCGAATTTTCCTTGTATTTGTTGACTAGCGTTTCTTGCTGCACAGAGACGGGTGCGTATCTTGACTGCAAAAATATAGTGGTCCGAGTCGATGTTAGGACCTCGGAGCGTACGCGCATCTAAAACACTGGTGACGTGTCTTCCGCCTATCACGATCTGGTTGGTGGCTTTTCGATCCATAGACAGCCAGGTAGCTTGATGAATTTTCCTACAATTTTCTTTCCTTAGTACTACAGATAACCATAGGTAAATTTCTATTAATCGTTTTTTTTTTTTATTTACCTAACCTAGGCTGTTTATTGCTTTTCATTTGGGGTGTTTCTGTTTGTGCGCACAACCCTGCGCTGGTGTGGTTCGCCTTCTCACTTTACCTCACCTTCAAAAAGATGTTCTTTGGTTACCCAGAGGAGACTTTGTCTAAGATCGGAAGTCGGAACAGAAAACAGATGTTCTCTGAATTTCGTTAAGATACCTCACATAATATCAACAAAATATGTGGAGTAAATTTAGTGCAGAAGCTTGGACGATGACAACAACTGATGAGTCGATGTTGCGAATATCGCATTCGATGGAACGATGAGCTGTATGAGGTATATGACGACATTGGCATAGTTCAGCGAATTAAAAGACAGCGGCTACGCTGGCTAGGCCATGTTGTTCTAATGGACGAAAGCAATCCAGCACTGAAAGTATTCGACGCTGTATCCGCCGGAGGAAGCAGCGGAAGGAGAAGATCTCCACTCCGTTGGAAGGACCAGGTGGAGAAGGACCTGGCTACGCTTGGAATATCTAATTGGCGCGTTGTTGTTAACTCGGCTGTAATCGCGTAAGCGGTGTTCACGCGAATTAAGAAGAAGAAGAAATTTAGTCAATTAGTTTTCACCCGAGCAATCACTCCCTCTCATTAAATCAACTCACATATTGACGGATATATGTACATATGCGTTATAAAGTATATAAGAAAAGGATTCTCTCTGAATTTATTTAATATATCTCACGGATGGATCGAGTTCGCAAGTTGAACTCTGATACACATATTAAATTAAAATAGAATAGATACCAATTTTGATTGTAATACATAATTTCGTCGAATAATAAATCCTGAACTCTTTCGTACCTGAAGGTATTTCCCCGGCTTTGATTCTTGCAATTTGCAAGTTCATAAAATGTGCAGTTACACCCGAACTTAGCCCTTCCTTATTTGTTTTAAATTATAGTATTGTAAAAGGCGTTAAGGTATTTTATTATTAGTTTACCCTAAACTTAATTAAGCATCATTAATAATATAACATATTAAATCACAATGTCTTTTGTCTTGAAATGTCAGTATAAAGGACCATTTCTTTTTCTTCTAGCTTTGAACATAACGAAGACATATCCTTGCAGAAATATGCAAAAATCGGTTCAAGAAGAAAAACATATAAAAAATATGATAATGTGTGATCAACTTCTGCTTGTGGGGTGGTATCATTCCCATCCGAAATTTCAAGCGGATCCTTCATTGCGAGATTGCGATGCACAGTTAGACTTCCAAATTCGAATGCGCGGATCTTCAGATACTACGTATACACCGTGTGTGTCAACAATAGTTTGTAAGAATTTCTAAATAGTTATCAAAATTCAAATTTTGTACAATTATTTATTTTAATAGCTCCATATTATGATGAAAATCCMAGCTTAGAAWCAGTAMTTAAATCAATATGGGTTATGCCGCCGAATGAGACCAARSAGGTWTTGGAATATGGACGTCCGATRTTAATGCAATATTCAGTCATATTGGATAAGGAAGCACCAGCATATGTGCATTCTGAATTGCAAGCATGTGCGACCTATTATGCAAAGTYGCGAAATGAATTAATTAAATTTAACAGCATTTTTATTGAAGACGTAACATTTTTAGAAAAGTTAAAMCACACTTTATATTTAAAACTTCCTGCGGAACAGGATAATACTATCTTTTGGAACTRGATTTGTGAAATTTTAGGTTGTGGGAACGAWGGMAAATTTATTCTTCCTAAAACAATGACACATATTGGCAATAAGGCTWAACAYACTTCTTCTGTAGAATACAGTGTTGATTTACATCAACACGAAATTAAACAMGTTATATATGATAAAAAAWTTGTGGAAATAGAAAAACATAATCTTGATAGAAASGGTAGYGAAATAAAAATTCTGTCGCTGCAGGAGCAACTTTGTTTACCATCTGGATTAAACATGAATCCAGTTCGTACATTTGCWTCTTYGACGTCGTCTAATCAGTTAGGATCCAATAATATACCATCGTTAACGACTAAAAGTACTAATGTTTCATCTAACCAAACATCTACTAGTTCGATCGTTACAACTTTAAGTTCAGAAATACTATCGCCTTTGTCAACTATTGGATCGGCTTTACCAACTGTCTCTTTTACAGAAATACATTTACATGACAGTCCAATAACGGTACCTTCMTGCTCCGCAAGTCCAGTTAAATCAGAAATACCTTTATTAAGCTCCCCTTCACCTACCAAATCAGAAACACCACTGTATTCTCAGCATTCTAACAGTGCAACATTACTTAATTCTAGAAATCAAAATATATTAAACATAACATCGAATTACGAGATACCAAATGAGTCTCAAACACAATTAACAGAATTCCATTCTACAACGAATGATTTGGTCGCCGCAAGTTTAGTCCATTTAGCTGATCGGCTAGCCCCTAATTTTATACAAAATGATCTGACTAACATTTTTCAACAGCATAGTGCTGATAAAAATAATCGAAGCTCTACTAATGATCAAATCATTTCTGAAAGGAGCGGAGAACAAAAAGATAATTCATGTGAAACAGTTGTAAGTGGTTACACAAAAAACTTCAATGCATCACGATCGTTGGGAACRCAGAATCAAGAAACTGCTGAAAGTACTAAAAACAAAGCGGAGCCGTCGAGGCTTTCATCACCTGTAATCTTCTCATCTAATAACACAAGCTTATATAAAACAAAACTTATGAAAGAATTGGATARTATAAAAAATGATCCCTTAAAAATGAATGAACTTATGCGCTCTCCGGAATATGCTGCTCTCCTTTTACATCAGGCGGAAGCGCTCGGTGCAACTACACTCGGCACACTTGGTTTAGGATCTGATTTAAATTTTTTAACAGGCACTACCCTTGGATCTAAGACCGATCAAACGCAGACACCTGACTACAATAATTTAGCTCAAGTTTCGAAATTTCTCGGGTATGAAACTTGTATGCAATTGGCAAAAGCAGATGATTTTAGCGCTTTTATACAACAACAAATGGGCGCTGTGGCAGCTGCTGCATTGGTAAATGTGTCCCTTTCATCGAAAAAGCAAAAACAGTCAGAATCTCAAGTTMAAACGGACTATGGTTCACTTTTACAAACATATTCAAAACTTTTTGAAAATGAAAATAATTTTCGTTGCGGATTGGTTGCAGGAAAGTCCTTAAATAACCCGCATAATGAATTATCTGATTTGCTTTCAGTTGGAGCCGATACTGACCTTTCTTCATTTGATTCCAAACTGAAGACCAAAGATGTTTCTTCACAAAAAGCAAAGTGAAAATCAAAATCAGACTGAAAATTCAYTTTTTTACCACCAGAATAAGGCTGTTTCTCAATTGAGTTCACTATTTGCTCCTTCAACACCGACAGCTAACTTATCAYCTTCTAATAAATTGTGCAATAGTACGAATTCGACGAATGTGGCTGCCATTGTAGATTCCCCTAGTTTCTTTAATGCATTTTCTCAAGAAAAAGCTCAAGAATATACATTTTTTCAGCAGCAACATATTAAACAAGATGAAAATTTTTTTCTTTCGCCTGCTACTATGTTAAAATTACAGAAAGATTCGCTATCTGCAATGATGATGAAACCACCTAAATCAACCTCATCAACTCTTGCGACAATATCTCGTTCACGTGAAGCTTCAACGTCTACAGTACTAAGTACAATAAAAGGCGGCTCTGCCAATAGTATGAAGTATAATTATAGTGCAATAGACTTGGCAGTTTCTAGTATTCAGTCCAACACKTCTGCTCCGATTTCGGTTGAAGCTAGTAACAATTTGATGTCGAAACGAATACCTTCAAATACACCACCTGTTGATCTCAGCCGTCTTTATAGTGAAGGTCAATCTGCATCCGTAATTGGTTCCCTAAAAAAGCGTATGGAATTCTCATCCATAGCAGAGCTTGCTGCACCTCCACCTACAAAAATTTCAAAAGAATTAAATTAAATTAATKCAGTCTYTGAAWTACAYTGAAAGAAATATTCACAATAATATATTTTAAAAGTGGAATAGCATTAGCCATTATTTTGACAAACTTTGGAAAACCATCATTTATGTATTTGGTAAAAAATAATAAACTTATTGTATTTTTTTTTAGAAATACTCCGGCTTTGTGWGTTTTTTATGTTATATTTGAAAACAGGAGTAATAAATACAAACGTTTATAATCGAGTAAACATACCAAAAGTACCAAGTTTTCAAAAAATAATAATAAATTTATTGTAATGAGTTTACAAACTATAACTATTGTTTCTTTTTATTTGAAAGTATGTCAAATTTGTATACAACCGATATTTCTAACACAGGATAATTCTCCAGGTTAAAAAATATATATATATATTAGTTAAATAGCTTTCGTTGTAGTTAAGTAAATGTTTTTTTTTTATTTTTATATTTTTTTGAGAGCTATACTCCTTTATTGAATTTCAGCATTTTGCTCTAAGTGTCATATCACATTACTTTTTATCATGTGATAGTACAGCCTGATTAAATACTTTTTAAAGTCGATCCTTTTTCAAAAAATAGTTGTTGCTGGTGAAAGTTTTAGAATTACTGGTAACAGTTTATTTATTGTTCTCTCTTTGTTCTAAAATGTTTTTCCTTTATTTGAAGACTGGCTGGCTAAATGAGATTCATCACACACTGCACGCATCATACACACCAACCATACCTCCCACATCATACACACATCAATACTAATACAAGGCACATGAGGACACCAAGAAAAATTAACAAAAGGGGTCTGGCGGACGGCGCTCAGCCTCTTCTGTTATCGATCCGTGCGCATACACGTTAACAGCCGCTTTTCCAGAGTTTCATTTTTCTGAAAAAAAAGAACCTGTGGTGACAAAGTTGGTAACGAAACGAAAAAATTATAACAGGGATGACCGAAAGTGCGGAGCTAAAAATTAAATAAACATATAATATACAAATACAGTATTTTACAAATCTAAAGAACCTCCTACTGTGTTTTTATGACTAAATTTTTGAAAAATATAACATTACTAGTTGGACAATTATAGGTTACAATTATGTACATACATTAGTTCATAAAAACAATAACATTAGTTATATATTCTTTCGGGATACAAAATTTTATACAAAAAACTTTTCAAAAGTATAAATTTCAGTGAAACTGTTATTGAGACATTTTGTAAAGATATTTTTGACGTCGCCACCTTACGATTTAGAGTTTAAGAATCAATATTGGCGGAAAATACTGATTCAGCCGACTTTACAAATAAAATAATAAGTGATTGATAAAACAGTTTATCTCAAAATAAAACAAGTAAAAAATATTCGGTGAATAAATCAGTGGTGAACCATTTAATAAATATATTTCAGCAAACTGGCATGTACTTTCTCGCCACAGCTGAGGAAGACAGCGAAAAATTACATAAAGAGACGATTTATTGATCAAAAAGGTTCCCCAAATCTATACCACAGTATTTTCCAATCAAATACAGAAACACTTTTGTTTACTAATTAATGCATGGACAATTAGAAAACGAGCTGTTGAGGGCGGGTTGTTCTGTTGGCGTCCAGCTAGAAAGTCCTTTACTTCAGCAAAGATTTGAAAAGCCAAACTCATATTTACAACAATTCATCTTGGAGCATTCAGAAACTGAATATCATTTTATTCTCAGACGAATCGAAATATATTATTATAGATTCGGATGGCATAAGATGTGTGAGAAGGCCGAAAGGACAAGGACTCAAACCTTATTATTATGTTGAGACCATTAAATATGGCGGTGGTAATGTTATGGTCTGGAGCTCTTTCTCTGGCCACATGACGGCATATTCATCTAATAAATCGAATAAGGAACGGGTTTGTTTACACCGACATTTTAAAAAACGGGATGCCACTATGCTAAAAACCATATGCCACTATAATGGTAGTTCCAGCAGGACAATGATCCGAAGCATAACTCTAGGCATTGCAAAACTTGGTTGTAAAGTTAAAGAGTTGATGGTTTAGATTTGCAGGCGTAATCCTCGATGTAAAATTCATCGAGAATTTATGGGAGATTGTTAATTCCAAAATAAATAGTTAAAACTGTGAAACAAAGGATCAACCTTTGGAACCCGTACAAATTGCATGGAATGGCATACCACATGATATACAGTAAATAATTTAATTTCTTCTATGGCTAAAATAAGCGTTTCAGTCACCCAAAATAAAGGATTTGCTACTATTTTTTAATTTTCAGATATTATTTTCAAATTTTAAAAGAAAAATGTTTTTGTTGTTTTAATTATTTAATTTTAAAAATTTAAAATGAAAACCTTTATTTTAATACAAATTAATGAGCAACCTGTTAAAAAAGTCAAAATTTTTTTTAGTTTGATTGTCTTAACCATAGTAGGGGGTGCTTTAGTTTTGTCCAATACTGTACATATGTATATGTGGTGATAGTGGAGATACAAAAAAACAAACAAAGAAAAAAAACAAGAAGTGAGGTGACAAAATTGTGGTGCGCAAAATTTAGACAAGCACAGTGCTGTGAAAACTAGAAACCAAATTGGAACAAAAGAGGTACCATGAAAACACAACCAGAGGAGAGACTCCGTAGTCGAGTCATTCACCCCAGTGGATGAATGTATAGTCATAATCCTTATTAAAGGGATTATTTGCGCCCACGCCCCGACGGAAGAGACGGACGATATGACCAAAGATGCTTTCTATGAACGTTTGGAGCGCATCTATGAGAGTTGCCCCGCCATGATTCCAAAATCGTGTTTGGCGACTTTAACGACAGGGTGGACAAAGAAGGTATCTTTGGCAGTACGGTCAGCCTCCACATCGAAACATCCTAAAGTTGATCAAGGCGGATCGACTACGCCGATGCCAGAAATATGGTTATCTGCAGTACTAGATTCCACCATAGGAAAATTCATCACGCCACCTGGCTGTATCCAGATCAAAAAACCACCAACTAGATCGATCGTGTTGTGATAAACGGAAGACATGTCTCCAGTGTTTTATGCGTGCGTGCGCTCCGGGGTCCTAACATTGACTCGGACCACTACCTTGTTGCAGCCAACATTCCCATCCGCCTCCGTGCAGCAAATAATGCACGTCAACAAACACAGGGAAGGTTCGACGTCGAAAAGCTGCAATCACAACAGACAGCCCGATTTTCTACTCGACTTGCACTCCTGCCCTCTGAGAATGCTCGAAAATTCTACGAAAAGATGCGGCGACTAATAGAAGGCTTTAATGCCGGAGCATACTCTTGTAGAATCTCCAGATGGGATTGAGAGACGTATGCCCAGAGATTACTCAAATTATGGAGGGAACATTTTTCCAGCCTGCTGAATGGCAGTAAAAGCATAATACCAGGAGACGGCGAATATGGCGGGGAAGAACTGAAAAGGAGCTTGCATCAGCTTCTTTGTAAAATACGGTTGGTTGAAAGCATGCCCAACGATTCGAATTTAACTGTGCTCTGCCCAATCCATAAAAAAGGAGACCCCACAATCTACTCCAACTACCGTGAGGTAAGCCTCCTCAACATCGCGTATAAGGCTTATCAAACGTATTGTGTGAAAGATTGAAGACCACCGTCAACAAACTGATTGGACCTTATCAGTGTGGCTTTAGACCTGGCAAATCAACAACCGACCAGTCATCAAACAAACAGTCGTCGCACTCGCGACTTGGCTCTCACGTCACTGATGACAACAACAATTGTTGCAATTTATGTGAGTACCCGCCGGCGACGGCCTTACCTCACGATGCTTTCTAGAATCACATAGTTCAATACTCCAAAGCGCCCCAAAGTAATATAAATGCATTTTTCACGTATATTTTGGTTCCAAATGGTTCAGGTGGATAAGGACACCTTAGCCATCTTGGTCCGACACCCGGCCGCAATGCGACTCCACATTGGACTGAATTTTTCAACCCTGCCTGCCTTTAGGTTTAAACCACATCTACCACGAATCTCCACAAAGGGCCAAACCCAATGAGCAGATTGTAGTAAACTCCAAGGGATAATTTCTTCCCTTGGTACCAGGTTAAACTTTATGGTAAGACCTTGTAACTTTTGCTGCTACCAGTTGAGCCCCTAGAACTCAAAGACTGGTGACATTTGTTTCGTAAAACAAATGCGATAGTGCATATGGATTTTAGTCGCCTCTTACCATGGGCAAATTCTAACCCCTACAGTCATAACTTTGCAGTTGTAGATATTTTTATTTTTATTTATAAATGTGAAAAAAATAATAATACAATTATTTAATTTACACGAAAAAAAGGAGCACTGGCTGCCAGGACCTCCTTTTCGCTGGTGAATCTAAGGCTAGGTGACTAAAATTAAGTTCTGTTGTCCACGCTTTATATATTTAAAATCTTCATAAAATCTATATACATGCTTAAGTAAAACACAAACAAAGTTCTTATCTAAGCTAGGTAGGATGTCATATTAAATGTTTTAGACCGCATTTATCCAGATATTTTGATATTTTTATAACGTTCTCGAGAGACGTAGTTTTCAAAAGTGTTGTAGGTGTTTGGTTATCGAAGATAGTCCTCCTGATTCCTGTGAAATGGTGGCATTCGTCGAGCAGGTGATGTACTGTTAGTGAAGCCTCCGGGCAATGTTGGCAGTAAGGCGGACTGGACCGATTGAAGAAGTACGAATGTGTGGCTATTGTGTGCCCTAAACGTAGGCGGACAAATGATTTAATATCGTTACATCGACAGTTTGGTGGATAGGTTGGTTTGCTCCTATCTGGGTTATTTAAAGTGTATTGGTGCTGGATGTGTCTCCAACTCTCCATTAGCGATTTAAGTTGGTGTTGGTGTGCCATCTTATATAAGTCTTTATTCTCAAGAAAGTCAAACGTAACGAGCGGTTCACTAGCCGCTAGTTTAGCGCGTTTATCTGCCAGTTCATTCCCGCGTATGCCGGCGTGGCCTGGAATCCACATTAGTTTTATGTTGGCGCTGTTTTCAGCTAATTGTAGATAATTTCGTCTAATTGGGAACCAGTATAAACACCCCCAACAATGTCAGCCTGGAAATCCAACGAAGCAAAACTCTTGCCAACAGGTGCTACTTGGGACTGAGTAGGCAATTGAGAAGTAAAGTCATC